TCATAGTTATATGGCAAAAAATAAATAGTAGTTAATTGTGCCATGTTTTGGTCCGTCGTCATCCTTCGTTATTTCCATAGCTGATTTTTGTTAATAAAGATTTACTTTGGCCAGGCCGTAACTACTTAATTAAATCATTTTGAATCGTAGAGCCAAATTATTTTTTATTTGCAGTTATATGAATTAAATCCACTAATACTAAGAGGATCTAGCGATATGAAACATAAGACATTACAATAAGAAAATATTTGTGCAGCACGTATTACTTGTCACGTGACTTTCAAGGTCGTGGACTGCGGAAACCCCATGACCTGACAAGAGTGAATAAATTTGGATGCAACGTATGTAGTTTTTATGATATAAATTTCGAACTTTGATGAAATATCCAAACAAAAATTTCAACTTTTGGCTCTCCGGCTGAAGAAGAAAAAGTTTTTAAATGGGATCTATATATACTTATGATATTTTGGCAAAGCTGAGTTTTTGCAACAAACCAGAATGCAACCATCTCTTAATAAGCTGAAGGAAAATACCTGGTCGATTGAAACGGTTCCTAAAATTAGAATATTTTTATGGAGATGGGGCTTTGTATGTTGCTGATGAGCTAGCTCACAGAGGAATGGAGACTGATTAAAGATGGCAGGTTTGGGGTGAAGAGACAGAATCTATATTAATCATGTGTTCTTCAGTTGCTCTCTAGACTATCTGGTTACATGTCATCCTTGGTGGCTACATAGGATCTTTGAAGATGAGAGACTTTCCTCTATTGCTATGTGATGTTTCACTTCAGTGGTCTTTTATTTTGACTAACTTTTTTGGATGTTTAGAAGAGTTTATCCTTTTTTCTAAGCTCGCTTCATCTTGAATGTTTAAAGATTAATTGTGTTGTAATTGGCTTTTAACCATTCTAATATATACCAAAAGAAAATACTTATAATATTCAAAGCTCTTTTTGTTTATCGCATAAATTAGCTTGAATGTTTAAATGACTTTTTGTAAAAAAAATTAGTTAAAGATAAATAATCAATGTTTTCCAAACAAAAAATGAATAAACATATATTGTTATTATTTTACCGTCTACTGCATCATCATTATCATTCACGTAAAATGAATTTAACTCTATGCATCACTAAACATTGAATGACTCTATAACAGAAAACTCTATCTATAACACCAAGATCCAAGAGAAACAGTTTTACCGAGGATCCAATGCATAATGTATACATAATAGTAAAGTTATAAACTGTCGGTTAATATGTTTATAGAATATAATAATAATAATAATAATAATAATAATAATAATTTGAGTATCAACTTGTGGTTTCGGAAACGTCAAAGATTGAAGGATGGAAATAAATTGACATGCGCCAAAAAAGAAAACACAAAACACTCCGGTGAACTCCAAAAAAGTATGCTTCCTAAAATTATCCGATGTTTAAACTAGAAATGGTTAAAAACTGTTATGCGGTGCAAATATGTTTTGAGTGTTGTGCCCTTCCTGAGAAAAGTTTGGACTGGATCGCGATAAATGCGGTACAAATGTGTATTTAGAAGGGTTAATTACCTCTTAGTCTCTAGTTATAACATGTAACCGGAGAATGCAAATTAGCAGATTGACAAATCAATGTCTCTCGTACTCCCGCTTTAAGATATGTGTTTGTTGCGTTTCATCACCATTTTTCTATACACAAACACGAGTTATTATGTTGTGTATGCATGATGGGGTGATGTGGGAGACCGCTTCATAGCGCTTATTCGGGCTAGGAAACTATTTTTTGTTTTTTTGGAAGAATTTAAATGCCATTTACCAAATCAGGGAAAATAGTATATTCTTCCACAAACTATGTTATTTTATCGAATTTATATACAAAACTTTCATCCGTGCCTAAATTTACATCAATTAAGCCAGAATTTGAACACCAACTATCTTATATTGGTGAAATGCCTCAAATCGTGAAAGGTGTTATTGTGTTGTTAACAGAAGTTGACTAGGACGACACGTAAACCTTTAAAACTTTGTATCGTGCCTATAACTACATAAACTCACTAAATTTTGAAATTTCTATACGAATAATCCAAATCCAATCAAAACCAACAAATCGAGTAGTGTTGTTAGTTGAACCGTTAGTAGTCACCGACTAGAATGCCACGTGGATGATGACACAAAACAAAGTTGTTTAAGAAACAATAAATAAACAATTGAGACCAAACTTTAATTCAGTTGAAATGCCCAAGCCTCTGTGGTCTAGTGGCATAAGAAGCTTTGGTGAAGGGTGAAACTCCCAGACCCGAGTTCGATTCTCCCTGGAAACAAAAACACAATTGTTTGGGAAGTCTGTCAGTTGGGTCTTGGCCCAATTGGTTTACCTGGTAGTCAGAAATGCAGGCGGCCTGACTACCCCCTGGCATTAGTCTGAAGGTATTCCAAACTCGGATCAGGCAGTGTGGTGGCCCAATTCTACCTGGATCAGGAGAAGTTCACTCTGTAGCACATCGGTGCGTTCCTACCGAGGCCGACCGGATCAGCTGATAGGGTTTATAAAAAAAAAAAAAAAATTCAGTTGAAATGCAAATATTGTTAGTGTTGTATGCTTGCAAGCATCTAGGTAAACTATTGGTTGTTAAAATAGAAGTGTTATGAAGTAGATAGTTTGGTTTCGGATTATTGTTTAGGTCGTGTCAGGTTTGTGTGATTTTTTTTTGTAAATTGTAAAACTCTATTCAATGTTTAATTTCCGACACATTTAGACGGAAGTCATCATGCCGTTAAGAGTAAACTCTATTTGGACCATATTTTTCTTGTCTGCAAATATTATCATGTTTCGTACTAATCTTTTTATTAGTGTGTTTACTATGTAACGACTCGTTGATTTTTGTGTAGCTAATGATATACTTTTTTACCCAAAAATATTTCTGCCACACAAATTAGACTAGACAATAACTTTGCTCGGAAGGCAATAAGCAATTTGGACGATATTTTAAGGTTTGGTCCATGTTCCAATATCGTGTTTGGCACTGCTCCGAATCCACTTGATTGATACTCTTCCATTTGTTTTCTAATTGTTTGAAGCAAAGGTTATCCATTAAGGGGAACTTATCTATCCCACGTGGAATACTCACTGCCAAAGATTCGCAATATTAGACATATAATTGTCACTAATCAAACCATTAAACAAATGACAAATTGATTATGTTGAATTTAAAGAGCCAATTTGACCTCTTTCAGATAGGGCTCTTGGGACAAATCCTCTTAAATCTCACCTAACTTTTATTAAGATAGTTTTTGGTTCGTGGCTATTAAATTAAGCCTGAAAATTTCAACTTTTGCTTCACTTACAAGGGTTTAAGCATGGATAAACAATGATTATCACAAGCTACCATAATGATTAAAAGAAGTATGATCGTTATCAGTTCTTTTATGCATAAACTATTGATAAAATTATAATAGTCACGAGATGATTGATCGAGCACGATAACTATTATAATAGTCACGAGATAATGATTGTGTAAGTTTAAGACTACGGTATTTATACGTCTAAAGTCTAAACCAAAAATAAAAGAACTTAAACAGTTGAAGTGAATACACATTTTATATTAGTAAAACATTTAAATGATTTAAAATTTGTAGAGGACAATGGCCTTCCAACAACCATTTGTACATTCGCTTTCTCATTCGAAAGAAAACGTATCCAAAATTTATCTACACAATTTGACGCTAGAAGAAAGAGATTATCAAACTAATGCAATAAAAACACAAACGTTACTCCAAGAAACTCAACCGTATATCGATCCTCAACTCTAGGAAGAATCCTAACACCCGGCACCACCACCTAATTTCATCCCTCTATTTGATCAAATGGCATCATTCTATTCGAATTCATTCTAAAATTAAAGACCACGAACCATAACACTACGCTATAGGCATGACTCAATACATAACTTGTAGGACCACGAAATCCATATTAAAAAATAGAGGGAGAGAACTTTGAAACGGAGCCACTTAGTAAAATTGAAGTTCCAACATAACCTCCATCTCCATAGATGCCCACCTGCATCTTGTTGGTTGATAATTGAGTTTTCAGTTAACGGTTATAAGTTTGTGTTGTTTCACTCAAAAGTCACAAGTAGGAAGAGCCACAACTCTTCATGTGTTGTGTCTATTTGTTTTCTATTTAAACTCATTGTATCGTCATGTATCGTCATGTAAATAACAAGTTTCAGATTCAATAAAGAGTTATTTTTGTTCTTGTCTTCTTTACAAGAGAAGAGACAAATGTCTCTTGCACTGTTTTTCTTCTTTCTCTCAATATTCCAACACATCTAACTTCCGCGGATGCACAACACTAATTAACAGCTAAAACTTAGCATGGGACGCAAACCTCAGCCTCTCTATACGTTCCGAAAGAATGCATGCATTCTAGTAACGTTTCCTTCATGAACATATAGACGAGAAACGTTTTCTTTCTCCGTGAGTACCTAAACAACACACTCATAGAATAGTTTGCAAGCATTCGAAATTTGTTAAAATATGCATATACGACCTCACCACATTTTTCAAAGGCCGAATGAATTTTTGAGGAACGATTAAACAAAGATCTTTTTTTTCAATCACACTAACAACAACACGTTCATGAAGACAATGAACAACACACATGAGACAAGCCATTTACCGCGGCGTTTGAAACTTTATTCAGTGAGCTAGTAGAGAAATTGGCTCAAGCCTAAGTATTGATACACAAAAATCACAAACCGTGCAAATTTTCTTTTTGAACACAAATACAACAATTTAATTTCAAATCAAATGGATCACACTCAAAACTACATTTACATATACCAAGAAAGCCAGCATATAATTTGAGAGGCCCGACAGGTGGCCAAGTTTGGCGTTTATCTAATTTGTTATCATCCTTATACCATTTCACAATCATAAAACAGAAAATACCGATCAGAAAATAATATTAAGAGTTAATAAGAAACACAAGTTTGTATGGAAAACAGAAAATAATATTTCAGATTTATATATTTCATCAAAAAGGTAAGAACAGTAGCAAAAAAAAAACATACGTAGGATAATCATAAAAACTTAATATAACATATAGATCCATATTATTATTAAACTCTAATGAGTAGTTGTTGTGGTTTGGTGTGTTTGTTGTGGCTGCGAGTGCGCATAATGTCCCAACTCTTTGGCTTTCTCCGCTATCCTCATCCTCGCGTAATCCACTTTATCCGCTCCCACTGGGTGTTTTCCGGTAACGTACTTATAAATCCATGTTAACGCCGTCGCTGCGGCCACCCCACAACCACCTGAAAATAGGAATCCCATCGTCAAAAGCCCCAACGTTATAACCGCTGGTACCAACACCGGGCTGAACAGAACCATCAACGGTGTCGCTACGATCAAACCGATCACCGTTCCGGTTAGTGTTAGTCCTGAGAGCACCAGGAGTGATAGGCCGATTGTTGCTGCGGTTAGGAATCTCACTATCTGCCGTGTCGATGGTGATGATTCGTGGAGATTCTTCATTATTGGTTGTTGTTGCTGATGTTGTTGTTGATCAGCCATTTCTTTCTTTTTTTTTTGTCTCTCTGTTTTTTTTTGTGGAGAAATTATGAATTTGTGTTGCTTTTTTTTTTTTAGCTTTGAGAAGTTTACTATTTTATGAAGAATGAAAATAGACGAATATGAAGGAGAGGCTAAACGAGACACGTGGTGAACGATGAGGCGTGTTAGGCAATAGAGAAGAGTGTCATGCGGGCGTGTCAGTTCTGCATGGAGCTACTTTGACGAGGTACTGACACATGTTCAATTAGTTTCGAACTAAAAAAAATTATTGGTTCATAGATTTATAAAAAATTGGAAATCCCAACAAAAATTCTTTGTTATTCGATTATTAATTTTAAAATCTTAATTAAATTCATGTGTTATTAGTTTTATGATTTATAAATACTGATTAAAATCCTATGTTATTCGTTTAGTCATTTGTTTTTGGATTTGAGAATCTAAATTATATTTTAAATGGATTTGAATAGATTTGAAAGAGAAAAATAGAAGGATTCAAATACATGGATAAACACATGCTATTTCAAAATTCATATTTCTTGATTTTATAATAAATAAAAATTTTCAAATCTTATATGGATTTACAAATCAATAAACCAATAACATCCCTAAATCTCATCTTCAAGCTTATTGGACTATTATCTGGGCTTGTGGATTGTGGTGACTGTATTTATCCTTGCGAAGTTGGAATAGTGTCTCTGGAAGTGTCAAAGAAAACAAACTAGGGGTGTGATTTTGGGGTTTGATTTGGATTTGATTCGGTTAGTTTTATTAGTTTTGATAAAAATTTAGGGAATTCAAATTTATATTGGTTTGGGTTAAAAACAATTAATGAAACACAAAATCACACATTGATGATAAAAGAATAAGGTTATTTTTTTTAAACTATCAAATGTGGGTTAGGATGACAATATTGTTTGGTTTATTTGATTATTTAACAAATACATATTAGTTTATCGTTTGGTTTGGTTTTAAACCGAACCGTTAGAGTTAAAGTCAAAATGTTAAGGTTTAAATTTGAATTTGAAATTATTTTTAAGAGTCTATTTATGTGGATTTCAAAATTATTACTAGATTGATGTTGGATTTCAATTCTATTAAAATCTATAATTGAATAACACGCTCTTAATTAAATGGTTTGAACATACAATCTAGTTCGATTTGGTTGGTATGCCCATTCCAACTCAAAACAAAACAAAATTCGCAGATTAAGTTCTATCTATTTTGCTATAAACCAGGTATAAGTTTAAATTATAAACCCACTAAAAATCCGGCTTTGAATTAGTCCGAAGTGGACAAATTTATGAGATTTATTTTTGGATTAGCAATTAGTAGTATAGTTAGCATTATATATGAATAAATACACTTATATATTAGAATAAAATTTGTTACTTTTTTTTTTGTCATCTGCAATTAATTAAAATTTAAAAGAGCCATTTCTATATAAAATTATGAATAAAATAAAAAAATTAAAAACTTGATTATGAATTCAATCGAGTTTCCTATTTAGTACGCATGTCCAGCCTGCGAAACCGTGGGCTTTAATATCTGGGCCTGTAGTGACTGTATCTTCCTGGAGACAATTTTTTTCAAAATAAAACCTTCGACGCAGATATATCGACACGTGGCCGCATCTGGATTCGACCGTTGCTGGTTTACGTTTTTTTCCTCTTTTAAAATTTCTTAATTTGGATCAGTTTTTTTGCTTTGTAAAAATTACACTCGTCGTCTCTTTCTCTTCTCTTCTGGTCGTCTCTTTCTCTCGCTTATCTTTGGTCATCATCGATCTCTTCCATGGGGATTTCTACAGAGACGCAGCAAATTGTAAGAAATTAGTTGTTCTTGGTTCACGAATTCGAAATTTCATGATTCCTTCTTGCCTTTTTGGTTCTTTTGCCGAATTTTGTTTCAATTTAGGGTTTTGAAATCATTATCTCTATCTCTCGCGTTCTCGTTTGTGTTTTTCTCTTCTCTTGGTCTGTTTCAATGGAATTGATGATCTGGGATTATCGATTAGGTTGCTCGATTTTCTTTGAGTCAGAAAGAATCATGTTGCGTTCTAATTCGATCTTCTCTGTTTGATTTGATGATATGAATGTGGATTTAGCGTCGTTTACAGTGAGAACATATAGATTAATTGACAAATCCGAGGATTAGGGTTTTGTGAAAATTAGTTCCAATTTGGAGATGTTGATTCAAGACAGATTGGTTTCTAATGATGGTTTGTCGTTTGATTTAAGTGTTTCTGAGAGGTAAATGGATTTCTATCTTTGTGATATTGTGTCAGGCGGCATCAGAGGCTGCACAAAAGAGATGGACTACAAGCGATTTCGACGTTGGAAAGCCTCTTGGTAGAGGGAAGTTTGGCCATGTTTATCTAGCAAGAGAGAAACGGGTTAGTGCTTCTTTACAACTATGTTAAACAAGTGATTTCAATTAAACCAAGTTGACATGTATGCGCATTTGCAAACAGAGCAATCATATTGTGGCTCTTAAGGTTCTTTTTAAGACTCAGCTTCACCAATCTCAAGTTGAACACCAATTACGAAGGGAAGTAGAGATTCAGTCTCATCTTCGGCATCCCAATATACTGCGACTCTACGGTTACTTCTATGATCAGGTGTTGTGTTATCTGTGTGTTTTAACAACTTCTCGTAGTCATATTATGTGAGGATAACACAATTTTTTGGGATATCACTTGTGTTTGCAGAAAAGAGTTTATTTGATTTTAGAGTATGCAGCTAGAGGTGAGCTTTATAAAGAGCTTCAGAAGTGCAAGTACTTTAGCGAACGTCGAGCAGCAACTGTAAGTTCTAGTGATGTTGACCTTATTCTACCATCTGAATCTGAATCTGTGTAGTCACACTTCTTGTAGACTAGTACGAGCTTATGCCCTTATGTTTATATTGGCAGTATGTTGCGTCATTGGCAAGAGCCCTCATCTATTGCCATGGAAAACACGTTATTCACAGAGATATAAAGCCTGAAAATCTATTGATTGGTGCTCAGGTAACAAATTCAACCTGATTATCTTTCTCCATCAATGCCATGTGATTGAAGTTAGCTTATATATTTCTGTATTCATGGATATTCTCTATCAGGGTGAGCTCAAGATTGCAGATTTTGGATGGTCAGTACATACATTCAACCGTAGAAGGACTATGTGTGGCACTCTGGATTATCTTCCACCTGAGATGGGTAGGTGAAAGGTCTCCACTGTGTTTCTTAACTAGTCTCATCTGCAACCAGCTAATTGACTTTTCGTCTTACAGTTGAAAGCGTAGAACATGATGCAAGTGTGGATATATGGAGTCTAGGAATTCTCTGCTACGAATTTCTTTATGGTGTCCCTCCTTTTGAGGCCAGGGAGCATTCAGAGACATACAAAAGGTAACCTGTTCATTAAGCTTAGAATGGGATTAGTATGATGGTGTGGTTATATGAACATTAAAGAACAATTTTTGTTCTACGATTGCTGCAGGATTGTCCAAGTGGATCTCAAGTTCCCTCCCAAACCTATTGTGTCTTCATATGCAAAGGACTTGATTAGCCAGGTTTTTACTAGCATTACTCGTAAATCTCTCTTAAGCTTTAGTGCAATTGAAGAGTGAATTCTGATATTTCACACTGTCTGATCAAATAGATGCTGGTTAAGGAGTCTACACAACGTTTGGCCTTGCACAAGCTTCTTGAACACCCGTGGATTGTGCAAAGCGCAGATCCGTCGGGCATCTACAGAGGTTGAAGCTTCATGCTTCTATGCAGAGAAGAAAAGACTGCATTCTTGGCACCACTAAAAGTAATCTGACCAATTCATAGTCTATATATAATCTAGCTGTGTTGTACTATATTTGTCAACAAAGTTTATAGCAACAAGATTCGTGTAACTTTGACACCAATTACTTTTGAATCATCACGTTTAAAAAAATCGTTTGGAATGGTTTCAAACTTACACCAATGTTTGTGCATTGGTCGTGGTACTAATCTAATCTTAATTTTACAACTTATGACACATTGGTCATCAGCAACACCATCTTGGTCGTTGCTCACACCTATCACATCAGCCACCTTTGTCTTTTCAGCACCGTTGCTCAGAGCAACTCCTTATGATCACTTATGATCATTTGATAGACAATGATGGACTATGTTACAAAAAAAGGTTTGATATAAAACATTATACATTTTTTGTTGTTTACGATTTTTTGTTACGCTCTTAAAACTATTATTCACGGCTCTGAACATAAGGGTCCTAATTGTATATCATGTTTTGCGAAAACGTAACGATAAATGATTAGTAATTGTATTATAGATAAGATGATTCGTAATTGTTTTTCTTCTTTCCACTATACATAATCTAACAAATACAATTATAATTTTTCAACATTTGTTTCTAATTGACTACTTGCTATTATCTCCTAAACTTTTTTTGGCAAAGTTTTGTAACACTCTTGATTCATTCTTTTAAAAAGTTTTGTTTTATCGTTGAGCAATCAACAAAAAGTTATGAAAAATGTCCAAAAAAATTCTCAACTTGTAAAAATGGTTGAAAAAGCAAAAACTTTCCGATCGTTGAAAATTCTCAATCATTATTGATTTTGCATTTTAATCATCAATTTTTGTTGATTGATCTAAACTAGTCATGATGTTAAATAGCTACTCAACAACATGACTAATGTGGCTAAGTTAACAAAAGTTAGCGATTAAAATTTCAAAAATCAATAAAAATTGGCTATATATTTCATCGAATGCAAAGTTGAGAAAAAACAAATTCGAAAGTCAATCGAGAATTTTTTTGATATTTTTCCTTTATTAATTTTATATTTTGAGTTTCAATTTTCAACGAGTTATAAACTTGAATGTATATGTAACTAGGCATGTCAATCAGGCTGATCCGGCCTGGCTTGGCCTAATATCCACATATATTCGAGGCTGGTCTGGCCCTAACAAAGTTACATGGATTTTTTGGGGCTTTTTAGGCTTTTCTAACGAGAAAAAAAAAAGCAAATTATAAATTTGTAACATGTTTTGGAAAAATGATTATATGAAATGAGTAAATCAAAATTTAAATAACAATCAGTATTCATTAAACCCAATTTAATTTGTAAACATTTTACTAAATAAATTATTTAAACTTACAACAAATAAAACATGAAATCAAATCAAACTAGGTAGTAAAGCCAAAATTTGAATCTACTTTGATGTCTTCTAATCTTCCATTGTTTTAATGCTTCTAAATCTATCATTTCATCAAGATCTACGTATCAAATAAATTTTTTATTTTTTGACGTTGACATATATAAACTATACAAAATATCATAGATAAAGATTTTTAAAATATTAAGTAAATATGAAAACTATGGTTTGGGTCTTCAACTTTATTTAAAATAAATCCTTACACAAATCTCCCAACTAAACTAAAATGTTTTAAAAAATATCATAATATGTTTGTAAGGGTTTTTGGACCGACTCGAACCGATTAGGCTAAGCCTAAAAGCTTCTTTAGTTCGAACGGGCTAATCCGAAAAATCTGTTTTTCTTGATTTTTAGGATATACAAGATCAGTCCAAGTTTCAAAATTTAAAGCATACGATTTTGTAATGCAATTTAATTTAGGTACCATTTGTAACAAATAATAATATATATATAGGGCCAAAATTGGACATTTTAGAAACACAATGGACAAAAAATGAAAAAAAATTATTAAGCTTCTGATTTTTGTTTATGTTTCATTCACTCCTCTGAGAAACTATCAATTGGGAAAAAATATATTCAAAGAAACTGAATTGTTTTTTAAGAGTTTTTGGGTTTGTTCCTCATTGTTTTGCTGGAGATTTCTTCCATCAAACTCTAACAGATGAGAAGTTGAATCTGCGTTTTCTGATTTATATTCGAATCCAATTCCGTTTGTTTTTGGTTGATTTTGCTTCTGAGAGAGCCCAGATCCGAAGTTTCTCCAGGAACAATAATGTCGGTGAGGCATGGCCAATCTTCGTATCGAGATCGGACTGGCGAATTTTTCGGTATTGTGGATAGCTTGAGGAGATCGATTGCGATTTCTCCAGCGACGAATAATGTGCAATATAGTGAAAGAAGAGAAGATCTGAATAAACGATCTGAGTTCACCAAGAGAGCTAGATCAATTGGTTTAGCTATTAGTCAGACGTCCCAGAAGCTCTCTAAGCTTGCTAAACGTAAGTTGTGAATCTAGTTGCTTTCGTTGTTTAACCTCTAATGGCTTTGATGTACTTGAGATTGTTTCACTGTGAATCAGTTGCAAAGAGGACATCAGTGTTTGATGATCCGACTCAGGAGATACAAGAGCTGACAGTAGTCATCAAGCAAGAGATCTCTGCTTTAAATACTGCTTTGCTTGACCTTCAAGTGTTTTGTAGCTCTCAGAATGATGAAGGGAACAACTCTAGAGATAAAACTACTCACTCAGCAACAGTTGTTGACGATCTTAAGTATCGTTTGATGGATACTACCAAAGAGTTTAAGGATGTTCTTACCATGAGAACCGAGGTTCTTTTCAATTCAGTCGTGACGGTTACCTTATTACTAGTGTATTGATGCTTGACTGTGCTATGATTTACTTGTCTGGTGTTTCAGAATATGAAGGTCCATGAAAATCGAAGGCAACTCTTCTCTTCAAATGCGTCAAAAGAATCAACAAACCCATTCGTTCGCCAGCGCCCTTTGGCTGCTAAGGCTGCTGCTAGTGAATCTGCTCCTCTTCCATGGGCGAATGGGTCTTCTTCATCGTCATCTCAGTTAGTCCCATGGTATAGTACTATTAACTGAATAACTACAGTTGCAAATACAGCATACCTCTTGAAATCTGGCTAAGAATTTGCTATGGTTTACTAGAATCTTATTTGTACCATGTCAGTCGTTGCTGATTTTAGATTTGGCTTGTCAAGAATTCAAAGACGTTTCATAATCTCTGCATTTACAGGAAGCAGGGAGAGGCCGAATCTTCACCATTGTTGCAGCAGAGTCAACAACAACAACAGCAGCAGCAGCAACAGATGGTCCCATTGCAAGACACATATATGCAGAGTCGAGCTGAAGCTCTACACAACGTCGAATCAACAATCCATGAGCTAAGCAATATCTTCACACAACTAGCAACCATGGTTTCTCAGCAAGGGGAGATTGCTATCAGGTTCGTCTTCATCATGATGAAAACGCCAAAATGTTTCTAATGTTTTAAGATTCATTTTTGGAAACGAAGTATAATATAATATGCTGCTGGTTTGCACAGAATCGATCAAAACATGGAAGATACATTAGCGAATGTGGAAGGCGCACAGAGCCAGCTTGCCAGGTATCTAAACAGCATATCGTCAAACCGATGGCTGATGATGAAGATTTTCTTCGTACTCATTGCATTTCTCATGATTTTCCTCTTCTTTGTGGCGTAAACATTGTGACTAAAAATTGACTTTAAAGAGTTTCAACATCTAGACATGGTTCTTTTTTTTTCTGTCGTATCTTATTGACATGTAAAGACCAAAAGAGAAAAAGGGATCTTATGCTCTGTTCAGATTAATAGAGATTATATATAATGTCTTTTCCATGTAAAATTGCTTTAAGTTTTCCAAACAAATTATAGTTTTTCTGCTTCTCTTTTCACTTCCACTCCTTGCCTAACATTAGGAATGTATCTAATTCCATTTGCTATTTATTTGTTAATTTTGTTTGTATCATTTCTAATTAAATTAAGAGTAATGAACTATTGATATATGACTTTGGAGGGAAAAAAATCCCTTTGGGAAATATTAATACTCATAATGTTTAGGCTAGAATCCTTGTAAATGTTTGAATTGATTGTAACACTATGTGTTGTTTGGTAAGTCGCTTTCATACGTTTAGCTCTTCCAGTTCAGGACTTAATGCCTTAAAGAGAGCGTCTACTTTGGTTTCATCTACCTCGTCTAAGCTTGCTGGTTTCCATTTCGGATTCTGCAAGAAAAACCACTCATCAATGAGCTTATAGTAAGGCAAAACAGAGGCCAAAAAGGTGACTCAAACATGTCAATGTGTATATAATTGTCAAAGACGATTTCCCTAAAATGGCACTCGCCGATGCAAACTTCATGATTTTGACTCAACTTGAGAAAATAGAAAGCACACAATACTCATGTGATAGAATGAATAGCTCTTGTTGTGCACGGATCTGTTCTTGCCACCACGTCACATTGGTGAACAGTGTCAGCCACTTGTAAAGTATCTTGTAATGATCCTTCCTTCTGGTCAGGATGCACTTCGCCAAGTATTGAAGCAACTCCTTCTTGTGAACAAGGACTCCAATAGTGTACAAGTCCGCTAGGTACCAAAGTACAAAATACGCTTCTAGTGGGAATCTTCCATAGTGTACCGGGTTCAAGTTTATGGTGGTGAGGAATGGATATACCGGATGATATGGTAGGCCAAGGAGTGGTCCTTGGTCAAGACCATACCTCTGGATGTAGAGCTTCAAAAAACCATGAAGTGTCTCGATTCCTCTGTAGATCAAAACATTATCTAGCATCTTCTCTTGTAAATCTTGTGGCATACTTGCAATCATACTCCTCAGAGTGTTTTCAGTCGGGTTCTCTGGACTCAAGGTGAGAATCATTGGGACGATGGCTGAGATTTGTCGTTGAGTTCTTGACAGGAAATCAGGGAGAAAGTTGTCTTTTCCTTTGATATAAATCACATCGAACTTCCATTGTGAAAACCAGCTTGCCCACCTTAGAAGTTGTGCTTGTGGTAGGACCTTCTGCTTGAATTGTATCATCTTAGGAAATGATGACATGTCCATCTCGATGAGGAAATGCTGGCCCACCAAGTGAAACTCAAATTTTTCTATCCCTCTTTTTACTGCAAGTATCTCCTTGTAGGTTGAATGGTAGTGCTTTTCACTGTCTTTGAAAACTCCGCTTTTGTAACCACAAATGTGCCTTTTCACCTTCTCATCTTCTTCTAAAAGGACTGCTCCCCAGTAAAAATCACTTGCATCCGTTTGTAGGATTCGTCTGCCTTTTGATGGAATCTTTAATGCTGGCAAGGTCTTCGAGATTCGTTTTAGCTCTCTTACTACTTCTGTAAATTTTTTATCCCAAGTAGGGGCATTTTTCTTGAGTTGAGCAGAGAGTATTGCTCTGTGCTTCGCCAGGTCATGGATGAATTCCGCCATGTAGTTGACAATGCCAAGGAATTGTTGGACTTGCTTGAAAGAGAGGTTTTCGTCAGGGAACTCATCGAGTTGTGTTGCAATATGAGGCTGAAGATGGTATTCTCCTTGAGAGATGTGCATACCCAGAAAGTCTATCTCAGTTTCTCCAATCGCCATTTTTTTTAGAAAGCATGATTCCATATTGTTGTACAATGTTGTGAAATTTCGCCAGTAGTGCCGTATGAGAATCAATGTCCGGAGAGAATAATAGAATATCGTCGATGTAGACCAGTGCGTTCGGGAGGATTGGCTCAAAAATCTTGATCATGGCCTTTTGAAACAATGAAGGTGCAACCTTCAATCCGAACGGCATGACCTTCCAGTGGTAATGTCTATCTGGTATGCATAAACCCGTCTTTGGTCTATCTTCTGGTTTTATTCCAAGTTGCCAAAAACCTGCTTTCAGGTCAAATTTGGAGAAGACTTGTGCTTGAGGAAGTCTTTGGAATAGGACTTCTCGCTTTGGTAGAGGAAACTTGTCATCCGCAAGAAAATGGTTTAGCGGTTGGTAGTTGATGACTAGCCTTAGTTTTCCTCGTACTTGTTCCGCTCTTTTGTTGACATAGAAAGCTTCACATGCCCACGCTGAGGTGGTCTTCTCAATGAGGTCTTCTCTTTGGAGTTGGTCAACTTCTTCAAGCGCCAGATTGTAATGGTCTGGATTCATTCCCGGATGGCTTGCTTTGGTTGGATTGACATCTTCATTTTTCTTGAAAGGTAGTGATATAAAGAAGTCTGGATTCTTCCATAATGGTGATGAACACTTTGTGAGGAACTCTGAATGTGAGGCAGCGCAAGAAGTTTTGATGATATCTTCTTTGACGGGATTGAGAATTTCCATAGGGTAAAGATGAGAGACAGTAGTCCATGGCAGTAGATGATTCTTGTGTTTAAGCCCTTTGGGATGCCAAGATACTCTTTTGAGGCCATGAAGAACATCAAAGCCAAGTATGAAGTCTTTTCCAGGAAGTTCAGACCCGTATACCTTAGACTTGATCATGTATCCCGGAAAGAGTTGGATATAGATAGGCTTACTGATTAAGGAGATGTGAAAAATCTGACCATTTGCCGCCTTAAAAGCCACCGAACAGGGATTCCAGTGAGAAGCTGGAAGTATGTCTGGCTTGATGATAGACGATGCCGCTCCCGTGTCCAGATAAGCTATGACTGGGATTGGTTTGTCGTACTTGGTCGCGAAGATGTAGATTTTGGCGTTGGGTGATGGTTGAGATATGTATGCCAATTCTTCCTTTTTTCGGTTCTTCAACCTTGCAGGCATCGAATGTGTAGAGGTCAAATAGCATGAACTGGTCATCTGCGTCTTCTTCAGTACTTGCTTCATCTGAAGAGTCTTCATCTTGTTCTATACCCATAGCTAGGATTGTGTCGTCTGATGGTTCATCATCAAGAGAGAAAATGGATTCAATGTCGGAGTCATCGATATCTTCGATTTGGGCCAAGTAACCGAGTAGATTGTCTCTCTTCTTCTTGTTTGGGCATTGTTTTGCATAATGACCATTCTTCTTGCAGATGTAACATCTATCTGATTTCTTGAAACCTCTTTGTGACTTTTTCCTGAAGAACTTCCACTTCTTTTTTCTTGAAAGTTGGGGATACTTCTTCTGCCATTTCTTTGTGAATCTTCTTTCTTGTTTGTAACTTGTTGAGCATCCACACTTCTTCTGTTTGCATTTAATGGATAGATCTGGACGATCACATGCCCTTCCAAGGAGTTTTCCTTCTTCTTGCATCGTCTTTAAAAACTTTTGGTGATTGCATAACTTTTCCATAGCTGCAAGAGACGTCTGGAATATTTCTCCTAAGGAGGCTTGACCAAGATTTGCATTCTTGAAAGATAGCAACCTAGAAGTCTCGTTTCCAAGTGGTTCTGGAAGTGAGTTTAGGTATGATTGTTGAGGTTGACGTCATCTATCCCGTTTAGGGCATAGTATCTTTTAGACATCCTCTCATAGTGCTTCTCTAGGTCTTTTCGTTTGAAAGAACAACACTTCATACTGAGATATTCTTCTCTTGCCTGGTCCGTGTAGTGATTCCATGCTCCAAGAAATTCATTGTGGATGTGCCCGACTAATGCGTCAATTGAAGGAGTTTGACGTATTTGCAACTGTCGGCACTCACCAAGGCTTATCCACCATTGTCTGAGTCGTCCTTGGAATTTGGAGACTAGTTTATCAAAAACCGTAGGGAGGATGGCTCCTAGGTGGAGTAGATGTTCCGTAAGCCAAGCGTGCATCTCATAGATCTAGTCTCGCCATTTTGATGGAGGGATTTAGTCAAAAGAGAAACCATGATGAGGTTCAGCATCAAACCTTGGATTCCACTCTGGTTTATGTTCTCTCCTTTCTGCATATATGTTCCCATCATCGCTGTCATTTTCCTCTACAGTTGGTTCTGCCATCATGAAGTGTGGGATCAGTACTTCTTCCTCTGCTTCTTCTTTTATATTTTCAGATCTCCTTGGTTTGACCTTGCGCTCTGAGCTCGTCTCTTGTTTAGCAATCTTCTTGAGAAAAGTAGAAATTGGGTTGGCATGTTCAACCATAAATTGACCTTCGCTTCTTTCAGGCGGGTTTTGAGACTTTGAAGTGCTTGGAACATGTTCCTTTTCTCTTTCTGTTGATTGTTTCCTTTTTGCTTGTCTCTCTGTAGCAACTCGTGTTGGTAGGAAGGAGGATGAGCCAAAAACACTTGGGTCTTGAGAAAAAGATAAAGGTTGTGATTGGGCTGTGTGAGGTGGAGTATAAACAGGATATGGTGTAAAAAGGTCATATGGCATTGGCTGGGGTTTTGGCTGATTTTGTAAGGAATTTAGTTGGGCTCTGAGGGATTTTAGTTCTGACTCCTTCTGGTACATGAGGGGTGAATTTATGGAAACAGTAGTGGCTAGGTTAAGGAGTTCTTGGTGTAGGGAATAGATTCTCCTGGTTAGATCTTTGATGGAGAGGTCTATGAAGGTTACCTTTTTGTCAATTTGGCTTAGTAGGCAGTTTTGAGTTGCTGCATTTTCAGATTGCCAATTCAGCGTTGCTTCTGCTGCACTGATCTGCTTCATTGAATCGTCTGGATTCTTTGTGTTCGGGTTTCTGATCTTCCATGAATGCTTGATGTTGTTTTCTTCACAATCTTGTGATGGAAATGATGATGCTTGATCTGATGGAGGACCAAACATGTAGCTCAACCGAACTTCTTGTATATCAGGAGTTGCATGGGTCGAATTACTTGGGTATAATACACAGTATTCAAAGTTTCTTCCGCTCGGTTCTCCAAGTAGGCCGACTTGCGGGTCTCCCGACTCATAACGTTCTATGAGAAACTGTTGAGAAGACTTCTTCTTTCTTCGTCTTGGTGTGTCTTCTTCATCAGAACTGTTCATTAAGCACTT